AGCAGGGAGCCCGATGTGGGGCTCGATCCCAGGACCCTGGGATCATGACCTGAGCCGAAGGCAGACGCTTAACGCCTGAGCCACCCAGGCGCCCCGACATTTAGTATCTTTGATTTCCAACCCACAAATGTCAGCATTCCCCCAAAAGTAATAAATTTCACCCTACATTTGCAACCCATCCTTCCTAATTCCCTACCAGGGATAAGGAGTAGAACTTTGGTTTAAGCTATAGAGAATTTAAAATAATTGCCTCTGGGGAGCAAAACTCCAGAGGCTGGGTAAGGATAGAGAAAGGCAGTATTAGTAGCTGCTATTTTTTTTTTAATAGGCCTTAAAACAGTAATATTTCAAAGTATTCACATGTATTTCTTCAAGAAAATTAAAATTAAAAGCACAACTAAAAAACAATAAAAATCTGGTTAATAGTTCTGGTGGCTCACTAACATAAAATGTGTGATCACATTTGCTAGATACCATCTGTGACATCTGTAATGGTTGCTCTGGAGAATTTTTTGGTTGCACATATCCAAAGCTGCTAGGTAAATGACCCTCAGATAAGAAGGGTATTAGTGTACTCACTGAATGCAAGTATAATATTTCAAACCCTCTGTTACCAAGAAAGGTCCACCAAGGATGTTCTACAAATGATCTTCAGTGAAGTTCAAAATGTTTAACATAAAAAGCCAAATAGATTAGATGTTCAATAAACATTACTACTCTCATAAGTAGACAATAAGAGAAACGCTTTCAAAAATCTATGTAGGAAAGACAAAATAATTTTTAGTTTTATTTAATTCACTTTTAAGCTGACTGGAGTTCAAAGGCAAAGATGACACTAACATAGAGCTACAAAAGACTAAATAAATAGTATGATCAACGTCAGTACTTCTGAATCAGTATGAAACGTGATAGTGTGTATCTGTGGTATGTTCTACACAGAAAAGAAATAACACATCTAAAGATGGACTGTATTCTTAGGTTCTTTAAAGCACTCTAACTACCACTTCCAATTCAACAACTAAATTTACAAATTGTTTGATTTTACCCCCCATGGGAAAAGCTTTCAATATATAAATAATTGTATTTTGTGAACAGGGACCTGAAGAATCAGGCACCAAAAATGTTTTAAAGTATGAAAAGAAACATAATTCACTACATACACTAAAAACTGAAAATACCACATATAACAACATACATTTTAAAGAGTGTAAACAACACTCCTCAGGAGTAAACTCTCCTACACAAGTACAGTAAATACTGTATTTTCAAAAAAGTAATTTATTCTCTTTCACTTCATAAAAAATTACTTTGCAAAACTTATTTTGAAACGTATAGGATGACACAGCTAGTTAAGTAGTTATGACAACTAATCCTAAAACATCAAAATAAACATTTTAATATTTTGGTTTGAAAAATACAGTCCTCAAAGGTTTATTTTACTGAAAAGATTCAGCTGTTGAATTGTGACTTACAAGAAACAGATTAAGATTATAGTTTCTCGATATAAAACAGTTATAAAATTATAACAGCTCTGCTAACGTAGCGATAAAAAAAATTAATGCAAGAAAAAAGTAATGCTTTTATAAAATGCTAACTATATTCAAAATCCTGGAAATTTGGCTTATATTATAGCTGAAAATAATTAATCTAGCTACTTTAATAATGTGGAATAAAAAGTGGAGGAAAAAATAGTGTTAAGCATCATCTTTCTAACTTCTTTAGAAGTAAAATTAGCACAAGGGAAACCAAAATGCTCCCCCTTCCACTTGAAAGATCCTGAAATCTATTTGTCATTATTTCAGGTAATAGTTGACATAATTCCATGGCACCAAAAGAAAAAGTACACATTTTTAGAATAAGAATATTTAGAAGGTTGAAAACTTTGACTATGAACTTACCTTCTTTTGATACCAGACTATAGCATCTGTGACTTTGGACGCCATTTATTCCAGTGAAATCACACATTCGTCATTTTAGGCTGTGCAAGAGAGAAAAACATACAGACGACTTTACTTCCACCTTCCAAAAGGAGACTGAACAACATGCGTATATAGCACTCTGGTTACTTGCAAAGCAAGGGGTGTATGACTATACTTACATTACACCCTTCCTCATTACTATTTTAGCAACAGGTTCTTCTTAAGCAAACAAAAATCAGTTGCCATAATAAAAGGATCTTTCTATGTGAATTAAACACCCGAATTTTCTAACACGATGGATTTTTTAAAAATAAGCCTTTTAAATAAATTTCAGAATCTCCCAGGTTATACTGCAAATTCTTCATTTATAAATTCATATATGATAGAAATCAATTCATTCACTCCGTAACAGATCGGTTTTGCTATAGTTCCCATCTGGGAACTAACGCCAATTACCATTGCTAAAGGATGGCTTGATAAAGATGCCAAAATCTATAATCATATTTAATGTTCCCTGGCACTCAGTAAACACCAATTTGAAGTAAAATCAAATAACTGGAAAAACTTAATTAATTTATGTTAAATACTAAACCAATATTAGAGTTAATTACACAGAAATAATTAATATTAAAGACTTCCCAGATATCACAGTTTGCTAATATTTAGAAATTTACCACAGACCATTTCATAGGCATCTTGTTTGTGTTTGCCTAAACCAGTTTTGCATACTAAACCTAATGGTTCCTTAGCCCTGGAAAGAATTAATTCCAGGCTGATTCCAGTTAACTCTGGAATACTTCTCTGGTCATAAGACCTGGCTGGCATGGAGGGCGTCTCTGGTACGGTGTTAGGGATGAGCCTAAACAGGTTCAAACGCGGACACTGGCCCCAGAACTCATTACAAACCAGGATCATCCAAGGCCACAGAGGATTTTGGAAAAATCCAGGGAGTAACGCACCGTAGTGAGCTGATCCTCGCACGCACGGATCTGTGACTGTACAGACAGATGCTACAGCCCCAGAGTTTGCCCAGAGTCCAAAGAATACCAGAGGTTTATAAATCATTCTTGGAAGCATATTAGGATTCAAATTTAAAGAAAATTACTATCAGGAAGGTCAAATGTTCAGATGATCAATCTCTAAATAAAATTTAAGTCAGAATTTATTTGATGCCTGTATTTTTGACAGTGTTGTAAACCAGATTGTTTTATTACCTTTCCTAAGATAACAATTCTGTCTTTAACTGACAAAATTCAAGCAAACTAGGTTTTGAAATTCCCGACAAATGCCCTGGCATTTGTCACAGAAGGAGCAGAGAGTCAAAAGACTCGGATTCAAATACTATCTAGTATATAATATTGAAGAAGTAATTTAGTCTCTCTAACCTCAGTTTCTTTCACTTGTACAATAGGAATAACTACCTATTCATCCCCTGGAGGGTTTCTGTGACTGATGAGATATGATACATAAAATGCCTACCACAGTCCAGGATATATAGCAGCTGTTCAATTATAATTATTTTTATTATTAGTTTTTATATTAAAAATTCTGCAAGCCAGGAACTGGGAAATATTTGTATTTCCTTTTTAAAACATTGCAAACGTTTTAGAAAAGGAATGCATGCAATCAGTTTTTGTTGACATTTAAAATAAAAATAGCCACCAGACTATCATAAAATCACAATGTCAATTCCCAACTATATGTACCTGGAGTATTTAGAGATTTCAAAGTTCACCTCCACTGAAGTTTCTCAGTCAGGTGTGGCTACTTTCACTTCTCCCACCAGTTAGGGAAGCTTTCCCTTACTGACTTAAGATCCCCCATTTTGGGTTTTCTGTCCTGGAGACCTCTGGGGGTAATTCATCAGCTTTAACACATTTCATCCCACAAGTTTTTTCCACTGATTCTGCTACAGGACTGTTCATGACAACATTACACCTTCATTATATTTGTTGAGACACATGCTTGTCAAGACACATGTTTTCCAAACTGGTTAGAACTCTCCTTCTCCCCTCTCCTGTCACCCCCCTTGCCAATTGCAAACTACAAAAAAATGGTACAAAAACTATGAGAATATCAACTTTTCACTTTATCCTCCTTTCACTTCACCCAATCTTTACTGACAAAAATTCCAGATTATCTACCAAGATAAAGATCCTCTCTCCTAATCCCCCAAGAGTGTAAATAATATGCATTTCATATACAAAATGTAAAAGGATTTTTTATTCACTCCATGTATTAATTGTATGAGATATTTAACATATTCGGGGAATATTTAAGTGGGTACATATAAGTACTAATAATTTTTTTAAAAAGCTTCAATGGAAGTGAGGAAAACATTGCCTCCTTCAAATAAAATGATCTTTTATTATCTTTTAAGGTAATTTTTAATACACTTTGGTTTATACCAAGCTACACTTAGAAATAAATTTTAAAAATCAACTATAATAGGACACAAGGTATATGGAATGTTATAAATATTTTATTTACATTTATTTGGATCTACAGAAGTAAAAATTCTATTTAAAAAAAAACAACACAAGCCTTTCTTCAGTAATGGCAAGGTTTGCTCTGCAAACTCATTTAATAGTTTTTCCATTGTGTCAACCACCTTTCAGTGACACAAGTGGCTCATACCTATTTTTAAAACAGGCTTTACAGCATGCTGAGATAGTGTTCTGAATCAGACATCTGACAAAGCACACCCAGAGCCACCCAAATTTCACATGAATATCAATAACAAGCATAAGTCAACCAATCATTCCATGAATAATTAAGATTATTTCCAAAGCCTTTCCAACTTCTTTGATTCTGACAGTCCAGGAACACAGGTTTACAGTCTATTCTCATGACAGTTTGAACCAACTGTTTTAATGCTAAATTATGAAATTAGAATTAATTCACAGGAAAAGAAAAAGAGCATAGAAAGCTTACTGGGTACCTTGAATTGAGAATCTTAATCTTTTTTGATCAACTGATCTGATAGAAGGATGGGTATTAAGATATAGAAATAATCCAATTATAAAACCACAGAGCTAACTGTAGGCATAATATTTAAATCTTGGTATAGACAGTTACTCTGAGCTAATTCTCTCCTTGACACTGCTTTAATCATTACTCCTTGTCAAAACATCTGAAATTATTCTTTACCATGTCAAGGACCAGACAAAATGCATTGATGATGTAAAAGCCCGGGAAGAGGAAAAGGAGGACTACAAGGAGATCGTATGTTAAGTCTGCCTTTATAAAATCTCACTATCAAATAGAGTAATACCCAGGGGTACTCTTTGTAGCCAAAGAAATGGTCACATTTTTAACCATTCCCTATGTTAGAAAAAAAGGCAGTCTATCAAATACTACATGTTACAATGCACTTCTCTCATGATTCTGAAACAAATTTCTCCGTTCTAGTAACGACTCTCACTGTGCTCGGAAACAACTTATGTCCGTCCCTGACACTTGGCTTTTGCTGTTATTCTCATTCCTTTTTTCCACTCATCCATCCTCTTAAGTCAGTTCAAATCCTACTTACTCTAAGATGAAGCTTCCTACAAGTGTTCACTTGGGAAAGAAGTGTTGAAGCCTGATGGCTCTTCTAGCACTTACCTGTACTGATAAATCTGGTATTTAAATAAAAACGAGGGGTGCCTGGGTGGCTCAGGTCATGATCCCAGGAGACTCTGCTCAGCAGGGAGTCTGCTTCTCCCTCTCCCTGCTGCTCCCCTTGCTCGTGCTCTCTGTCTCTGTCAAGTAAATAAGTAAAATCCTAAATAAATAAATAAAAGAAAAGCAGTATACCTACACGTCATTTGATTATATATAAACACCTAGAGGGAAAAAAAGAGGCATCTTTCCTCCTTCATGATTCTAATCCTCCAGTACATTATAATATGCAGGAGAGGAAGTAGAGCAGAGAAAAAGCTATGACTAAGTGTCAGGAGAATGGGTTCTAGATCCAAGTTCTGACACTAAATGCTATGTGCTTTTGAATAAATTTCTGAGTTCTCTGGGCCTTAGTTTCTCACCTAAGAGAATGTTTGCCATCTAGCCAAACATTCCACAAATCAATAAAGGCTAACAATTCCAATAACGTACAGGAGTTTCTCTGAATTCCTTTACTAACTCACCCAAAAACACTACTATTAGTTAAATCAATGTTACATATACAGAACTTAATACAGCAGAAACTTTTAGAAAAAATGGAACACAGGCTATTTTTTTTTTAATTTTATTTTTTATTTATCAAAGAGAGAGAGCACAAGCAGGGGGAGTGGCAGGCAAAGGGAGAAGCAGGCTCCCCGCTGAGCAAGGAGCCCGATGTGGGACTCGATCGAGCCACCCAGGCATCCCGAACACAGGTTATTTTTAAAAGGTAGTTTATGTAAATCTCCTTAGGCCCTGATCTCGGTATTCTTTTCAACAACCTTAGATCACTCCCTACTGCCTTTAGAAAACTATTTAGACCCACTACCCTTTAGAATTATATTCAGACCTTCTAAAATCTCACCCTAACCTACTTACCAATATTACTGCTACCATCCATCTTCTCACACATCCTGTTTCAACCACACTACATTTCCCTTTTTTTTTTTAAGATTTTATTTATTTATTTGACAGAGAGAG